TTGAAGTCCCAATCTGGTCTGGTCAAGGGAAAGGCAGCTTCTATCTCGTTGGGCAGCTGGGTAGGTCTCCCATCCGCCCCAGGAACCTGCTTGCGGGCTTCCAGAATAACCCTCTGTTTTTCTTCTGTCGTGAGGAGAACTTGGAGAAGCTGCTGGCAATCATCCCAGGTGGGCTGGTGGGTTAGAAGAATAGACTCTAGGAGGTTAGTTAGGGCCACAGGGTCTTGGGAGAAGGGCGGGTTATGTTGCTTCCAATTATAAAGGTCAGAGGCAGAAAAGGGCCAGTACTGGAGTTGGTTGCCTGGCCCTGGTCCCACTCAGAGGGGAAGTATGTGAGAAGACTCTCCTCCTTGACCCCGGCGGTCTCTCAGTCTTCCTGCGATCGGGGAGGGCGCCCCAGCGCCCTGGCCTACGTCCGATACTCCCCCGACTGCTTGAGGTTGAATTTCTGGAATCGGGGCCGGAGGTGGGTAAGGTGGAGGGCTGTCTTCAAGGAGATTAGTCAGAGCTGACTCATCGGGGGGAATTACAGACTTAGATTTGAGGAGAACAGGACAGAGGGACACAGAGGGGGAGGGATCTGTTGGCTGAGGTGCCGAGGGCGCCCGAGAGGAGGGTCTAGGGGGCAGGAAAGGGGCAACCCAAGGAGGGGGGTTGTAGGAGAGGCTTTCCCAGGTAACGATGTACGGGATCTGGTCTGGGTGTCCGTAGGGTCCCGATCTGAAAACCTGCATTTTAACCTGAGAGATAATATTTGGGTCAAAAGTGCCATCTCGTGGCCACCCGACGTCAAAGGTGGGCCACTCAGATGAACAGAAAGCAATCCATTTGTTCTTCTTGACTTCCACCGACTGGTTGGAGGCTCTAGTCTTTACCTCGCGCCAATGATCTAGAGTTAGACTAAGAGGGGTAGTTAATTCCTGTCCCATGGCGAGGGGAGACGAGTATACAATAATACAGATAAGCATGAGACAAAACAAAGAAAAACAGCCGGCACACAGAAACCCTGCCCCCCCTCGCCTGGGGAGCCAGACCGAGGGTCTGAAACCAGATGGAGGAGGCACCTCTTCCCCTCCGTACAGATGGACAAATCCCTCGGAAACGTAGTGGGCCCCGAATAGTCGGGCTCCCATACGGTCGCCGAGGAAAGTCGTCCCCGAGCCCCACACAGCGGGCTCCCAGAGCCCCTCGGGCATCCCCGAGGGTGGCAGATAGACTCCTCAGACTCGTCAGTCTTGTCCAGAGTCGCCCAGAATCAGGCCGTGAGTCTCACGCAGAAAAAGAAACCACAAGAATACAGAAACACAGAACAAGGCCCACACTCTCCTGGCCGGCCAACTCACCTCCCCACGGACTTGGGTTGTCCCCAGCGTTGCGCTGCGGGATCTCGGTGGGACCTCCAAATGAAGAATCGCACTCAACACACAGGGACAAAACCAAGTTTCGGGATGCAAAAGCAAGAGGAATTTATTCATACACAGGCGCCTGCGGACGCAGAGTCCCGCTCGGGTCAGGACTTGCGTGCCGGGCTTAGCTTGGGAGGGCCTTTTATAGAGCAGAAGCAGGGTACAGAAGCAGATGCATGGTTACAAGGTTATCATTGGTGCATTTCAAGGGGTACAAGGTATGAGGAAACAGTATTGCTAAATTCAGAGGGGGCTGTGGGTAAAACCGATTGTTATCGCTAGCTTCCCGGTAGGGTCTCAATTCAGAGGGGGCTGTGGGTGAAACCGATTGTTATCGCTAACTTCCCGGTAGGGGCTTCAGGGTGGTGTCAGGAGGTCCGACCATAAACGTCCTTTTTTCCACTGCTGGTTTCACAAGACCTGGGTTTGAACTTTGGCTCACCATATGGCTGACTGCAGTTCTTTCTCTAAAATGGCCTTCCTGCTGTCAGTCGGGTCTTTCAAAGGTACAGTCCTTGGTGCAAGATTTAAGCTTTTATAATTTTATTAGACTTTAGAAAAAAAATCCTCAGGGGGGCAAGCAAGCTGGTAATTTTGGCTGCTGCCTTGAGGAGGAGAATGAGAAGATAAGGAAAGCCATGAAGTCACCCGGGCTTAGTGTCTACATGGGGGTCAGACACGAGGCTGACTGGCTGCCACATGGCTGGGAGAAGGAAGCTTTAGAGAAAGCAAAGAAATGCAAGATGCTAGGGCAGCCCAAAGCCTTAAATAAAGCATGTGTAGAAAAGGGATATGGAGAATAGGAAACATTAGGCTTTTCTGAGGAATTAAGAAAAGTGGGAAGACTTCCACACTACATGACTGTGGTTGGTCCAGAAGTTCTGCACTAGGAGATAGATTCTAGGTGGGAAAAATTTGCTCTCTCATTAACACACTAGGTATTCCACCCATCTAGTTAGCATAACATAAGTTTGTGCCTTCCTAGGTGTGGTCCTCTGACCAGTTAAACTGGAAAGGTGGGTCTTTTAACAGACTGGATTTCAAGTCTTGACCAGTTAAACTCATGGGGCTATTACAATGGCAGTGTTAGTCATCTTCCCATCACTACGCATAACAAAATACCTGAGAATTTCAATTTAAAATGAAAAGACAGTATTTCATTATTTTCTACATTTTTGTTTGCTGTCATGAATAGTTCTACAGAACTGGACTTTCATGTACTAGTTTTTTGGGTTTGTTTATTTATTTATTTATTTATTTATTTATTTATTTATTTATTTTGAGACAGGGTCTCCCTGTAGCCCCAGCTGGCCTGGAACTCACTGTGTAGACCAGGCTGGCCTTGAACTCACAGAGATCCACCTGCTTCTGCCTCCTGAGCGCTAGGATTAAAGGCGTGAGCCACCACACTCGTCTCATGTACTAGTTTTTATGTGAAGATCTTTCCACTTCTCTTACATGGAAATGAGGAAGTGATCAGGTGATCACTCTGTGTTTAACCACTTAAGAAACTTCCTGACTCTTTTCCAAAGTGGCTGTGCCGTGTTCACTTGCATCCTGACCAGGGTTCTTACTGCCTGCTTTTCTGACTGGGGGCTTCTGGTGCATGTGAAATGATGTCACATTGTGGTTTGTTTTGCTTTCGTTGATGTCTAATGATACTGGAGTGACTACTCACTTGTCTTTTGACCATTGTTGCATGTCTAGTGAAGAAATGTCTGTTCAAATCCTTTGCCCATCTCTTTATTGAGTTGACATTTTGTGATTTTTGAGTCCTTTAATATATTCAAGTTCATAATAATATTAATATTTATCAAATGCATAATTTCCAGCCCCCATCTAATTCTATAGATTGTTAATTTTCTTGTTAATATCTCAGTGTACATTAGTGTTTTTAGTGTGATAAAGTCTAATTTGTCATTTTTTGTTTTGTTGCGCATGCCTTTAATGTTAAAATTTTAATTGGAATTTCAGTGTAAAGATGAAGAAGGAGAAAAGCATCTCTTTGGTTCAGCATTATTTGCATGCTTTAGAAAATGTACAGGGAAGTAGGCTGGTGAGTTCTGATGACTTTAGTGACACTTGACTATATTTGCTAACTTTCAGAACAAAGAAGAGTGGCTTTTCAATTTTTTAAAGGGTAAAATTTTTCTGAGAACTTGCCACTCATCTTAAGTAGCACTTGTATTACAAGAAGACAAAATTTTTCCTAAGGCATGAAGTAGTACAGATTGTTATGATTATGATCAAAGGGCTATTTTCTGGAATTCTGCATTTTATATAGTTTTCTTAGAGAATATTATGTGCTTTCCCATATCAAAGGGGGAAGTAGTAATTGAAAGACACTCTAGAAGAGGCTCTTCTGCAGTATGTCAGCACCCTGGGGGCTTGAGGTCTTTGACATGGATTAATCATTTAATTCTTGGTGGTGTTTAATTTTATGTGTTTACTACATTGGGTTAAGTGATACCCAGATAGCAGGCAAAGTAGTTTCTTTTTGGCACCATCCTGTTTCCTGAGAGCCAGAACAGAAGAAAAAGAGGAAAAGGATGAATGTATCCTCCCTTCTAAAGTTGGGACATCTGTCTTCTCTTGGCTTTGGACATCAGTACTGTAGTTCCGGAAATAAAAGAACAAATAAATGATCCAACCAACCAGAGGAACCGTCAACAAAGTTACAGGAATTAGAAAATCTGTCTCAATAATAACCTTAAATATAAATGGCCTCCATTGACCAATAAAGAGATATATACTGATTGACTGCATTGAAAACTGGATCCAACTGTCTACTGTCTCCAAAAATTACATCTCACAGTTAAAGACACAACAGACTAAGAACTAAAGTCAGAATCAGTCTGGAAATCAATCTATGACAAACTGGCATAGATATTTTGAGAGTTGATAAAGTAGACTTCAAACCAAAATTAGAACAGTCACTAAAGCCACTACATATGGATAAAAGGAAC